GGGCAGGCTCTGAAGGAAGACTGTCCGGGTTCAGGAAGTGACATCACACAAAATGGTGGAGTAGGAAGCTCTACAGGCCCATCTTACCACCAAAACGGTTGCACTGGAGAGCACACTTGGAACCAACTATTTCAGAACTCTGGAACTTGACTGGACACTAAACCAAATGGTCAAATTGGCAAATGTTTTGTTTCATTTCACCACTACAAAAATTTTTTTCAAAAAAGATTGCCTTGGTTCAAATTCCTACTCTGTCACTTATTAGCTGTGTGATCTTGGGCAACTTATGCAGCCAGTCTGGGCCTGCATTTCTTCATCTGTAAAATTAGGCCCATTAAAAACAAACAAACAAAAATCTACCTTATAGAGGTTATTACAAGGATTCAAATGTGTTTATCCGCATACTTCCACTGCATATAGTAATAACTCAATAAATGCTAGCTATTATCAATAATTATGAGCTCTGGTGCTCTGGTGGTGGTGTGGTTAGCACTGGGCTACTAACCAAAAGGTTGGTGGTTCGAACCCACCAGCTGCTCCATGGAAGAAAAGTAAGACAGTCTGCTTCCCTAAAGATTGGAAACCTTAGAAACCCCATGGGGGTCGTGGAGTTGGAATCAACTCAATGGCAGTGAGTTTGGTTTGATAGTGCAGTGGTTAAGGCATTCGGCTGCTAACCAGAAGGCTAGTGGTTCAAACTCACCAGCTGCTCCATGGGAGAAAGATGAATTAGTCTGCGTCCATAAAAATTTAGACTTGGAAACCCTAAGTTCCACTTAGGGTTCCACTCTGTCCCACAGGGTCGCTATGAGTCGGGAATCCACTTGATGGCAGTGGATTTGGGTTTTATCCAATTTATTATATTACTAATAGCTAATATTTTTGTTCAACTGAAAACTTGTTTTGCTACTAATTCCAGGTAGTTCCAGATATTATCGTTTCCAAGCATTTTAACTCTCGTTTACAAGTATTTCCTGAGCATCTACATGCATGGAGTTGCTATTTTGTCTAAGAGGCCTTTGATTGCTGGCTGTGAGCTGGGTTCATCAGTGAGTCTGTCAACCAGCTATGCTTCACTTAACTACAAACTAAAGAGTTCGGGAGAACCGGAAGAGGAAATAGTTCAGCTTCTTCACAGTATCCTGAAAAGAATCAGATCTGGGTTTAAATCTCGGCTCTCCCACTTACTATCTGTGCACTTCTCAGAATGTTCCTTTTTCCAGTACCAACTAATGTTTATGGAGTGCTGGCTATGTGCCAGACCACTGTCCTGTTTTATCTATCTGATCTAATTAATTCTCACATTAAGCCCATGAAGTGGACAGCATTATCCTCATTAACCAGTTGAGAAAACAGGTTCTGAAGTTAACTACCTTGCTCAGTGTTACAGAGCTAATAAGCAATGTCAGGATGGTCTAACCCAGAGCTAGCCCAGGGCTCCTGGCTATTCATTCACTAACCAAGTATCATTTGAACTCCTACTGTTTTCTAGGCATCAATCTGGGCACTTGGGAAACAGCAATGAACAAGACGGATAAAAAATCCCTGCCCTCCTCATGGAGCTTACATTCAAGACAGGGTGGATGTGTAAGCAAATGCTGTCCAATAAAGGCAAAGGTAAATTATGTGGCATGTTATTAGATTATACCACTTAACAATGCGAATAACCAACCACTTCCTACCTACAAAAATGGTAATATCATATGATTCTCTTAATGGAAGGTGATACACGCAACTGGAAAAATAAAAGAGGGTCAGGAGGGTCAGCTGTGGGAGGCAGGGTGCAGTATGAGATAGGACAGTCAGATAGGTCTCACTGGGGTGACATCTAAGACTTGGGGGAAGGGCAGTCTAGGCAGATGGACCAGCCAGCAAAAAGACCCTAAGTGAGACACAGCTAGTGGATTCAAAGAACAAGGAACCGTGTGTGGCTGGCGTGGAGTAAGGAAGGCAGAACATTAGTAGGAGATGAGGTCAGAGAGGAAGTGGGTGGGCTCAGTGAAGCAGGGCCAAGTGGACTACAATAAGGTATGGGGAGCCAGTGGAGGATGTGAGCAGGGCTAACACAAGGAAGTAGGAGCACAAGGGGAAAGCGCCAAGCCGGCTCATGCAGTGATGTGGGAAAGGCGATGGTGGCATGGAGCATGGTTGCAGCAATGAGGCCGTGAGAAGTGATCTTATTGTAGAGTTACTTCTGTTTTCAAAAAGAAATTCTGGAAAATGTGAAGCACACATGAAAAGAGAGCAATAACCCCCATGTGCCTATCCCCCAGCTACCACCATCATCAATGAATGGCCACACTTATTTTAGCTGACCACCTCCCAGTCTTCCACTGGAGTATTTTGAAACAAACTTGGATTCTGGATATATTTTCAAATTGAGTTCAACAGGATTTTCTGACAAACTGGATTGTGGGATATAAGATAAAAAGGATAATACCAAGTTTTGGGATCCAAACAACTAATACAAGGATGAAGATGTTATTAACTGAGATGGGGAAGGCTACAGGAATGGGGCTTTTTTGGGGGAAGAGGGGAATCCAGTTATTTTAGATACTATGCTGACATGTGGTAACATTTATCTCAACCTCACAGGTTGTAAGGATCAAACAGGATAACAGGAGTGAAAATGCTTTGTAAACCATGAATACTAGGACTTTAGCAAACTATGATTTAGTATTATTTAAGTTCCTCACACTGGTGCTGGGAATTACAATGAACTTTTCAATGCATAAATATAGCAAAAGGGCTCACAAGGTTGTTAGGCCACACCTCACCTGGAGCAGAGGAGATATTAAAAGCTTTCTTTAAAAATTCTTCTTCCTACTCTGAGAAAGCAAAAGGTTTTGTTCTTGTTCTTCGGTCAATAAAGTAATTATCTATACAACAGAGATACAGCAAGAGATTGCAATCTGGACAGAGAAAGCCCTGCTATTTTGGCATACCCACCCACTACTGTTGAGTCATTCTGACTCACTGTGACCCTACAGGCCAGACTAGATCTGTCCCAAAGGGCTTCCAAGGCTGTGATCTTTTTGGAAGCAGACTGACTCATCTTTCTTCTGCCGAGTGGCTGGTGGGTTTAACCTTTTGCTTAGCACTTGAGTGCTTAACCACTGCAACACCTGAGGTCTTTAACTTTGCCGTTGTTGTTGTTGTCATGTGCTGTCGAGTCATCTCTGACTCAGTGACCCATCCTTGGGTTTCTGAGGCAGTTATCACTATGGAAGTAGATCTTCCTTCCAAGGAGTGGTTGGTGGGTTTGAACTGCCAACCTTCTGGTTAGCACTCAAGTGCCTGAGGCACTGTGCCACCAGATCTCCCATATTTTGCCATGTTGTTGTTGTTGTTATGTGCTGTCGAGTCAGACCTGACTCTTAGTGACCTCTCCTTGGGTTGCCAAGGCAGTATCACTACGGAAGTAGATTGCCCCATCTTCCTTCCGAGGAGTGGCTGGTGGGTTTGAACCACCAACCTTCTCTGGTTAGCAGTCAAGTGTCTCAGGCACTATGCTATCAGAGCTCCTTATATTTTGCCATAGTAAAATGTTAATAATTCCATAGTCTTCACCAACACCACAATACAAATGCATCAATTCTTCTTTGGTCTTTCTTATTCACTGTCCAGCTTTCACATGTATAAGATGCAAATACTGAGTATATACCATGGATAGCCAAAAGAATGAACGTATCTGTCTTGGAAGGAGTACAGCCAGAATTTGCTTCCTAGAAGTGAGGATGGTGAGACTTCACCTCACGTACTCTGAACATGTTATCAGGAGGGCCCAGTCCCTGCAGAAGGACATCATGCTTGACAGAGGATCAGAGAAAAAGGGATCCTCAACAAGATGGACTGACAATGGCTGCAACAACAGACTCAACACAGCTACGACTATGAGGAAGGTGCAGGACGGGGCAGGGTTTCATTCTGTTGTACCAAGGCTCGCTATGAGGCAGAACTGACTCAGTGGCACCATGCAATAGTAGCAACAAAAATGTGGGTAATAAAGTCTACCATGGGTCTGAGATGGAATGTCTCTGTAGTAGGGAGGAAATCTGCTAGCTCTGCCAACCCATTCTACCAGATAATCATTATTTACTGTGTTTGGTAAAGATTGCAATTAAAATAGCTGCTAAAATTTAACAGACAAGGAAAAAGTAACCAGCAGAAAAACTATACTAGGTTAATTTGTAGAGAAATGATAGGTATGCATAGTTTCTTTTAAAGAGACAATCTTTATTTCAAGGATTTTTATAGTAAAGAACTGAAAAAGTGGTAGAAGCGTTGGGGAATTTGTTTATTTTTATTTAAAAGGAACTGTTGACAAAGGTTCACCAGAAACAATCTGAACAAGTGGGAAAATGCAGTTACTACTACTGAAGCACTACTAAAGGAATTTCAGGACGTATGGGTCAGGACACAACGAAACCTCTTAGGTGCTGCCAGCGATATG